TATATATATATATCTTCTTATTTAAAGCAACCATTAACGAACAAAGATGCAATATTGCAATTATAAGGGCCTTGCCCATCCCCAGAAGAAATATAAAGGGCCTTATAATATTCTAAAAGGGCATGATTCTGGGAAGAGCCGTGGAGAGGCAGACAAACAGGCCGAAGAGTAGAATAATAAGGCCTGCGAAGTTGATAAGTAGCGTCTCTGAACGGCCTGGGCTACCGGCCCCTTTCTCCATTAGCCCAGTTTCCACGGTGCAAATCGCGGTCAAAAAGATGGCCAGCCCTGCGGTTGAGTGCAGCGGAACTAGCGTCGCTCTCATCATCGGCGGCGCTCCTGGAAACCAGAAGCTGAAGAACCCAAATATCCACTGCGACATAATCATCATAGAAAATATAAGGGGACATTTACATAATTCAGGACTGCAAAATATCAAGCAGGTTTAGGCTTGATTGGTGTTCGATTTGAAATTGATTTGTTAAAATTAATTTAGAAAACTATATTTAAGATATTGAATATATTGTGCAAAAGAAGACAAAGAATCACATGATCATACTAGCTATTATGATTTAAACTTAAAAGAAAAAAAATATGTATATATATATATATTTTTTTTTATTTCGAGCTAAAACGAGCCGAACATGATTAACAAAGAGTTGTTTGTGTTCAGCTCATTTATTTAACGAACGAATTGAACACAAGTTACTTAAGAAGTCGAACACAAGTTATTCAAGAATGAGCTTTTTTGACAACCTACAAACATAGTACATAATTATTATGTATTTACATATCTAAGGCCTTAACTTTCATATTTACACCTAACATTGGATATGTAAATTCATAGAAATTAGATGGTATGTGTGAAAAAGGCCCAAAGTCATCCGCAAGGGAGAGAAGTTTTCTTCATGAAGAGGGGAGAAGACGGAAGAGAGAACCTGCAAGGCAAACAAACAGATGGTGGAGATGCCAAGCCAGGAATGCAAGGTATACATGTTTGGAATCTGGCTCTCCTTATGGAACTTGAAGGCTGCGTAAATCCCAAGTATTCCCAGGCCTAATGCCACCAAATGGAGCAACATGTGGATCATCTTTTGCACCCTTTTCGGGCTTGGAATTGTACTGTAAGCCATTATTGCTGCTCAACAACATCAAAAAAGAAGTATGCTTGTAATTGTTGAAAAATCACTCTAATAATCACAAGAATATAAACGAAAAAAATAAGAAAGAAAGGAACACAGGGATTTAACTAGGTTCGGCAATGTGTCTACGTCCTAGGTAGCGAATAGCGGCGGCTTTCGATTTTTTTGAAACAAAGTTTTACCCTTAGGACTACAAACACTATATATATATATATATATATATATATATATATATATACACATAT